CCATGCTTTCATCCATGCTTTGGGGTAATTCATCTGATATGGTTTCTGGCGAGGATGGAAGAAGGGGTGATTCTTTTTTTATGTCTAGAGGATCCTGTAGTTGTGTGCGGGACAGTAGTGAGGGTGGGTTTGTATAGGGTGGGGGAATGTGATTGCCCTGTCCATTTTCCTCAATGACAACCTCTTTGTGGGCCCTCCACATGTGACGGATAAGACAGCTTGTCCCTAGATCCTTCCCATTTTTCCCCCTACTGAATTCATTCATGCAATGGATGCATACAGCTTTGGAACTGTCAGCAGGCGACAGGTAGAAGTGTTTCCATACAGCTGATCTCCGGCGGGAACTTGAGCTTTTTGGGGTCCCGGGGAGGCGATCAGGCCCACTGTCGGACATATTTTCAAGGTTGCTTTCATTGGAATGTGAGGATGAGAGCGAGCTAAAAATGGTATCAGTGTTGGCAAGCGGTTCTAGTTTTGGTTCGACTTTGGGTAACACTTCTTTGGATGACAGGTCTGAGTTATCAGCTGAGGAGGTGGACGGTGAAGTGTTCTTTGAGGCAGAAGAATTAGCCAAGTCTCCGTTTTTTGGTGAGTTTGGGGATGGAGGTATCAAAGATGAGGAGAGGGAGCTGGTGAGATTATTTGAGGATGCGTCTGCTCCGTCTTGTAAAAGCACAGTGGGGTGAGCCCTTCGCACGTGCCTCATTAAACAACTCGTGCTGAGGTCTTTCTCGTTCTTGCCCCGACTGAACTCTTTCATGCAGTATAAACAGATTGCTTTGGTACTGTCTCGTGGTGATATGCAAAAATGATTCCATGCAGGGGATTTCTTCCTAGGGTTGTTATTACTCCTCATAGATGACAGAAGGCTCTGAGTGACAGCGTCCATGGCAACATCATAAAGGGTGCTTGTGTATCCATTTAGTAAATTACTGTAATCATCACCATCTCTAGTTACAAAAGGGCCAACAGAGCTACCGAATCCTAGCCTTTCGTCATCTTGGGTTTCATCCTCCATTCCATTTGTGTCCACAATCTCCTCTTTGATATGTTGACTTGCTTCATCCCCATTTTCCTTCTCCGTATTCCCCTCAGATTCAGTGTTTAGGCATTTGTTTGAAAGAGTGGGAGAAGCTGGATCAGTCTCACTTGCTTTGTCTGACTCCAACAGCTTGTCATCCTGAGGAGATAAAGGGGGAGATTGTGGAGGGTCTTTATCCAGTGTTAAAGAGCTTGCAGGTGACTTTGCGTCAGCAGCCTCATGAGGCTTGATGCTGTAGGACTTGAACACGTAGCCATCCTGGCCTTCAATTTTCAGGCAGGTCCCTTTGGCCTCTCTCTTTTTACTTTCCGTGGTGCCATTGGGTTCACTGACCACATCCTCACTCATGGGAGACACCTCTTCCTCCCCATCCATGGCAGCAGCCCAAGGGTTTTGGTAGAACAGTCAGGTCTGCTTTGTCAAATGTAGTCACTTTTTGCAGGTGTAGTCATCGATACTGCGGCTCTCAAGCCGGTGTTGTTATGAGCGTGTTGCTGACCGGGACACAGGGTGCCTGCGTGTCCCTCTCCATTTATGACTGAAGTAGTCCCATCTCTCCACACACAACCTAGAGAGATGGAAAGATAGAAAACAATTATCAAAGTGTAGTCAAAGTAAGAAGACGACTCCAAAAAACAGCTAATAAAGATATTCTGCGAATAAAGTTAATGTCATTTTACTTTTCCCTTATTTCTTAAAACATTTTTAACACCATTCGTACAAGGCTCAGCTGCTATGGTGTGGTGCAATGACAGTAACAGCTCATGCTCCAAAATCATGTTCCATAAAACGCAGCTTTTATTGACCTTTTGGATTTTCCTTTGAAAGCAACGTTGTGCAAATAAACATGATGTTTGGATTTACAAGTTGACAAGCACTGCCCGGACATAATGTTATGTTGTTGATGAGAGGCAATGTAAATAAACTTGCAGGTCCCCCGCCTCCATGAGCCTTCTCAGGTTTTGTCTCACAGCTAACATATGCAAATCCAAAACACTTATCAAGATCAGGAACACCTCTTCAAGCTACTTGAAAAAAGACTGTTGCACAATTCGGGAAGCCTTCTGAATTATTATACTGGTGCTTACTCTCCCCACACATGTGATAATCTCTCGTCATCCTTTTTTAACTGTATGCAAACATTATACAATGTAGTGCTAACCAGCACCGGAATATTAGCAATATGTATACTGTAGAATTAGAGTGTTCAGTTTTTATCCAACAACAGTAACTCATTTCTTATCACATTTATGTATAAATGTCAATGGTATAGCTAAACCATGCATACATCTTCAACTTTAAACCACTCTAGCAGCTGATAGCATATATTTAGGAATGAATGGGCAAAAACAGATATGCAGTATATCTGGTTGTTAACAGAACTGTGTGACTCACATTTGTAGAGTCTTCTTATTCGGAGATAACATTAGTATCTTAATAGACAATAAATGCATTATAAGCACCACAATGTTTAAAAAATAATCCTGAGTATGATAAATGTCAATACATATATTTAAATATACCAAAATAATGTTAAATTGCTCGTATATCAGTGTATTAGCTAAAAAGTATAGAATACACATAGCCTTAACAAAGGTTAGAATACTCTTAAAACTGTATTAGAAAATATGTTTTTAAATACATATTCTACACTCACTTTTAATATATGGGGGGGACACAATTATATAAGAAACACCTCAATAAAAGGCAATCCAGTTAAAAAAAAAGTGTTCTTAAATTGCACAAGACTGCATTAGTTTTGGTTAAGCATACATAATGAACTGGTATCTGATGTGTACTTTCTTAACACATATCTCTGTACCTTGATCAGGTGCACCACAGGTCAAATGTGGTTATGAACAACCAGTGCCTCACTTTGCACTGCATGTACATTTTCCTCATGTCAGTAAGTATTAACGTTAGCCAAAGTAAATAAGTCTTACACAAATGCAGTCAACCCGTTACTAATAAACGATTACAAATAACCCCAAATCATGAATGGGAACAGCATAAACAATTGTATCCTTGATTAAATAGGGTTTGACTTAGAAGGGCATTCAAAAAAAAAGTAGCCACTTCCTAGTGACAGGCAGTTTTCCGGGTTTGGCTGGAGTGCTCGTCTAGTCAGGAAGATACGAGAGGACAGCAGAAAATAGCCAACGCTGACTAGCTTCCATCTTTACACTACACATTAAGTTGTAAATGGTTATTTAGCCCACTACCGGCTTTACATGAACTCTCATTGAACCACAGCTAACATAAATCCTGAAACATGTGCGAACCTCATGCTAATAAACCTTTAAAATAACCTTATAACAAAACACAGTTAGCTTAAGCTACATCATCAGTAAACACCACGGTGGCTATCTTGGTGCTAACCCACTTAGCTAAAGGCTAATAAACACACAAAAACAACACACGGGCTCAGCACTACTGTCACATGGGTTTGTAAGACAAAACACAAAAAGACAAAACAACTTCTCTAAGTATCTTATTAACGTTGCAATGACACATTTAGTACAGTTCGGACCACACCACGTCTGCTAGCTGGTTAGCTGCCAGCTAGGCCACACACAGGACACACTAGCTAACCTGGCGAGGCAGAACCCAGCAACACACGAACCGCACGGGATCCGAATCAGACCAGCTCTCCCCACGACGTCCCGCCCGCTTTAAACCCCCCTCACACATGTACAATGCTCTTAGGATACTCACTGTGAAGTATGATCGGTGTGATCTCCAGGTTTCGGCTCCTAAACAGTTAAATATGACACATTTGATTGATCCGGAGGGGGGGTTCACTTTGTTGCTTTTGTCTCCTGGTTTGCTCGCAGTTCACGTTCGGCCGGAGCAGCTCCACACAGCGTCGGACGGAAGGAACATGTTTGGTGATGTCACTGGGTGAAGGGGGGGAGGTCATACATTTCAGATATGTCACATAAAATATGCTCTTGCGCTGACTCCAAACCAAATTTAGAGATTGTTTTTACCATGAATTAAAACAATATAGTGGCACCATTAAACATATTATGAATAAAACAATATTTTTCTTTTTTACTTTATTTATTTTATGTCATTTTTTGTTACTTGTAATGTCTACCCCTGATGTGACCTTTTTTCAATACAAAATATATGATGTTCATATATGTTCTTGAATAAAAAAAAAGAATAGAAAACATTTTCTTAATTTATCTTTCCACTCATTAAGGTACATTATCAAATATTAAAATGACATTAGTAATTAATTAGTATTAATTAATTGAATCGAGGAGACATGGAATACTTTTTTGAATAACTTGTATTTAATTAAGTTATTTTTACTCATTGTTATTGAGGCGCTATATAAATAAAGTGTATTATTATTCTAAATGGTGAACTTATTAACATTTCAAACATTTTAAAGTGACATGTACTGAAATAATAATACAAGCAAATAATGACAAAAATGCAGTGTTATTCTTTCCCAAGCCATGTAGATCTTGGAAAATAAGCTAAATTAAAGAAGTCGAATTTAATTGCTTTTCGAAAAAAATAGAGAACCAAAATTGTGAGTTTAAAATAAACAAACACACATCGACCACATACATGTTACTAGTATGATACGTTCTCCACTGTGTTGCATTCACGGTGATTCTGGGACAACGAGCTCGCAGTTAAAATGGGAACATTTTGAGTACATACTGTCTACTCTATAGTATACAGTAATATATGCGATTTCATTGACTACAATGCGGTAACTGAACTAAACCAACTGGCTTTCTGGGATAGAGCTGTGGGAAAACCGGTCACCAGGGTGGGGCAAAGAAATGTTCTGTGTGTTTCTCTGCCTGCGTCCTCATGACTGTCCTCTGTGAGACTAGAGGAGAAATGCTGAATCAATAACTGGTTGCATGACTGACAGGAAAACCAGTGGAAAAGTAATATTAACTGGATATTATTTTACAGAGCCACACACACACACAGAGAGCTTTTACTCACACAGTGTTATGCTCTGCTTTGTCTGTGTATAGCTCTAGCGAGGATCGACACAAGCCAATGCATTGATCGTGTGACAGATGGGCTTTTGTGTGAAATCTACGAGTCACCACCAACATGACCTCCAGCGTCACACGTAGAGTATTGCGTGCGGGTGGGAGTTGTCTGGTGAAACGCATTGTTGTGTTGGGGGATGAGCCGTCCGTGTTGCTGCTATTTGCTCCTGTGGCTAGCGAGTTTCTCTAGCCTATGAATGGTCCACAAAGCTACTAATTGTTTGTTCTCTGTTGCATTGAATACCGAAACTCCGCAGGCACCATGCAGGCGTGTTTCTTATTTTAATAGCGACCCCAGTATCGTTGGATGAGAACACTGTGTACGGAATTAGAGCCACTTAGCAGGCCGTATCGCCATTGCTTTGTAAGGCTGCTGGCTAGCTACCGTCTTCCTCAACTAGCAAAACTGTTCGTGAATCCGAGGTATGTTCTTCTGCTTTATGTGCTTTTCTGTGCTATGTGTTATAACGACTAGAAAGCATTCAGTGCATGTGCAAAATGTGTCACACACATGTTTTATGTCACACATTCGGTATGAATTAGGAGACGTTTTAAAGGTCTCTTGTTTTGTTTGACGCCATTTGCCTGCTGGCTAGCTCCTCTGGCTAGTTAGCAGGGTAGCTAATGTTATTGTTAGCAACTTGGCTACTTTGTGAGGCGTTAGTGTAAAAGGCAGTTTCCTCTCTGCACCAAATGGGCAAGCACTAACTCCTGTGCAGTCATGTTTAAAGTGCCCCGTGTGGCCGCCTCCCACCGCATTTAAATGCCTCAGCTCATTGACAAAAGTGTAACGTACAGCTGTCTACTAACGTTACAGTCCACAACATAAGGTCCCTGCAGCTTGAAGCTTTACTTTTTTATAGCATTGACTTTTGCTCTACAAGTCAGCTGCTAATCTTTAGGTATAATGCTTTTTAACATGTTTCACTTTTCTGTGGTTTGGTCCATAGAGTTTTGCATTAAATGAGAATACTGTATCTCTTAGTTTAAAATAGCTACATTTTCACTGAGATAAAAGTTGTAATGCGAGTGTAGAATGTATTTTTCCTGGTCTATTTGTTATTTTACTTGCAGGGTTACCCAATATTTTTGACAGCCTGATTTAGTGCTGATGGAAAGCCTGTATATATATAAAAAAACTACAGCTTTTAAAACCGTTAAGAATATTTTATAGCAAAGGAAGTGGAGGTGTATGTAAAATAATTAAGCGCTTTAAGCCCAGAATACTTCATGAGTAAATAATAAAGGTTATTGTTTTTCCTTACCCCTGAAAAGTAGCTCCTTTTTTTTAACCATTTCAATTAATACGTGCAGATCTCTTACCATGTCTCCTCACTCTTTCTCCACAGCAACACGGAGCACCAAGATGAAGAAGAAAGCTCGGCAGCACCGGGTTGCGGTGCCGCAGAGGCCGTCGTCTCCCATCATGCCTTCTCCCAACAAGCAGATCCTGACGTACGCCCAGGCGCAGAGCATGGTGGAGTTCGATCTCGATGGCCGCCTCCATCGAATCAGCATATACGACCAGCTGGACGTGATCTCAGATGATGACCCCATGGTGCAGGAGATGATGGAGTGCACCAGCAATAAGGAGAATGCTGAGAAACCGCAGCAGGTCCTCCTGAGGTCTGTCCGGTTAAAAAACAACCAGGAGAAGAGAAACGCTGCGCTGGGCATCACCAGTCCTGGACATGGAGGTGGACATCAGCCTGCTGCCAATACTGGTCCAAAACTCAATGAGCCTAAATTTCGTAATGTGGAATATAATCTTCCAGCAGTTCCTAAGCGCTCATCCGCCTTTTATAAATACGCAGAGAAGACAGAGGAAGAGCTGGACGAGGACACGGAGTACGACATGGACGAGCAGGATTATGCCTGGTTGGATTTGGTGAATGAGAAACGGAAAAGCGAAGGGGTCAGTCAGGTCTCTCACAACGTCTTTGAGTTTCTTGTCGATCGCTTTGAGAAAGAGTTGCACTTGGAGAGTTTGGACCAAGGCAGTGAAAAGCACACTCCCATTGACGAGGACGCCGTCTGCTGCATCTGCATGGACGGAGAGTGTCACAACAGCAACGCTATCCTGTTTTGCGACATGTGCAACGTGGCCGTGCACCAGGAATGTTACGGTGTGCCGTATATTCCTGAGGGCCAGTGGCTTTGCAGACACTGCCTTCAGGTACCCACCCAGCCTTCAGACTGTATCCTCTGTCCTAATAAGGGGGGAGCACTGAAAAAGACAGTAGATGAGCGCTGGGGCCACGTGGTGTGCGCCCTCTGGGTCCCTGAGGTCGGCTTCACCAACACCACCTTCATCGAACCCATAGACGGTGTCAGCCACATTCCTCCCGCCCGCTGGAAGCTCACCTGCTACCTCTGCAAGGAGAAAGGTGTGGGGGCGTGCATCCAGTGCCACAAAGCCAACTGTTACACCGCCTTCCATGTCAGCTGCGCCCAAAGGGCCGGCCTCTTTATGAAGATGGAGCCGATCAAGGAGGTAACGGACACTGGGGAGCCCACGTTTTCTGTGAAGAAGACGGCATACTGTGGAGCGCACACACCAAACGGGTGTGTAAGGAGGCCTCTAACAATCTACAATGAGGCCAAACCCAAAAACGGACTATGTAAGAAAGTGGACAAAGGGAGAGGTGCGGGGAAAGGATCGTCTAAAGGAAAGAAGAAGAGTAAGAAGCCTGAAGCTGAAGCTGAGAGTGAAGCTGTGACTCCTGCTGCTGTGCCTACGTTTCCCGCTCACAGGTGTGCTTTAAAAGTTGTATTAAAGGGGCCCTTTCATGCTTTTTGGGGGTTTCCCTTTCCTGTCATGTTATATTGTTTTTATAAGTTCCAGAAGGAGTTTTCCTCCCACATACTGCCCCCCGACTGAAACGCCTAAGTTGGTATATTTTGTTTACTTCCGTAACACGTGACATCACTGTGTAACACTCACGCTTCTCGGACTGGGCTCTAATTACAGGCAGACATCACAGGCAGTGTGAGAAACATATTGATCATTAAAGCATGTACACATGTCACAGAAGACGCACAAGAACAAATATGAACCTGAAAATCAGCCCCTTTTTAATGATGGGTGTTATGTTGTGTTTTAGTGCTTTGATGCCAGGAGTGGTGATATAGGGAGGGTTTTTCTTTTTCTCTCAAGGACACTGATAAGACAGTCTGCTGTTGATATACAAACATTGGCTGTTGTGGGGTTTGAGCACGAGACAAATGTTTGCATTCGCAAATAGAAGCTTCAGTGATCTGCTGGCATGCATTTGCTCTGCGTCGAGTGTCAGTCAAATTCAGGTTAAAGCTTGTTTGTGGCTGTTGATTCAAAAAACCGCAACCACGTGTAACAAGCCGCTGTATTATTCTTGGCTTGCATAATCCTGCAAGAAGCCTAGAAGCCTTTTGAAGTGTGCCAGATGTTGGTATCTCTCCTTCTAATACCTATCGCCCTGGCTCCCCTAGGTTACAAACCATTCTCAACCAGGTGTCGGTTCAGAAGAAAAAAGCTTTCGTGGAGCTGGCCCTAAATTACTGGACACTAAAGAGGCAATCCAGGAACGGGCTCCCCCTCATCAGACGCCTCCAGACGAGCATGCAGTCTCAGAAGAATACGCAACCGGTTTGTTTATCTCTCAGTCAAACACAGGAGACTATCAGTTTCTCATTTAGCTTTTTATCTACCTGTAGTTTTTAGAAACTTGACTTGCATGCTCTCAACAAGGTGTTGTGTGTCTTCATGCTTATGTAGCCGTTTGCCGTAAAGAAATGTTTAAAAGGTTTATCTTGAGAAACCCTCACCCGTTATTCAAGTTGACAGCCTTTGGTCTGAATGTCTGTATTCTTATTATACTTCCCAGAAGCAGAATGAGGAGGAGAGCAGGGCGCTGAAGGAGCAGCTGAAGGAGTGGCATCGTCTCCGACACGACCTGGAGAGAGCGCGGCTGCTGCTGGAGCTGATCCGCAAGAGGGAGAAGATGAAGAGGGAGGAGGTATATAGACATTTATTTATTAGGATACATTCCTTGAGATGCACCATTCTCGAGGTGGGACTGGGACTTCACTTGTGTTCTGATTACATTCCGTCAAATCAATGGAAAAAGCTTCTTACGGTTTCCCTCTGTGCTGTTTTGTAGATTAAACTGCAGGAGAGCCTTCTAGAGATCCAGTTGTGTCCGTTCAGTATTTTGCTCAAAGGGCTATTGGACCAGCTCCAGACAAAAGACCAGGCCAAGATCTTCACACAGCCGGTCGACATCAGCCAGGTAAACACTTTTTTAAGTTCTCTTGCTGAGTTTGACCATATTATTTTATTGTGTTTTCTTTTGGATGCCACACATGCACCCAAACAATTGAACCTAAGGAAGAATAGGAACACTGCGGGGAAATGAACAGCTAAACAATTGTTTTCCTTGTAATTCTCAAGAGAGCATTTTAGTTTTTTGTCGTTATCTTGATCTACTTATCTCTGATACTTTTATGTTGTTAATTGTGTGCAATTGTAGCATCGTGGCAGGGGGCTTCACCAAGGATTCTTTTACTTGTTGGCAATAGCAGCACTTTGTGTTGGCTAATCAGGCATGTGAGATAGAGATCTGTATTGTAAGCAAAAGAAGAAAGTCACTGCAGCTATGATTAACTTTTCAAGAGGATTCCAATCCAGATTTGTAACTACAATGGCCAGCCAGAGCCTTCCTCTTTGATAAAGCTCTAAAGTGGACTTGCTGGTTCAGAGCTCAACACAATTTGGTTTTACCAGTTTTTCTAGATAACTACTTCAGAGATGTTTTAAAACAATTGCAAGCCACGCCAACAATTACTTAATTGTTGTGGAGTTTAATCTCCAAAAGCCCTGACACACCAAGTAAAAAACAACCACCACTCATTAACCTTTCCCGTTCATTGCATTTGAACACACCACGCTCAGTCAACCGCTCTCGCCCCATGTCACAGGCTCGGATCATAGTGGTTATAAATCAGCCCCCTTCTCCTGGTGTTGACAGTGTTGAGCAATGTGACTTCCTGTTGTGTGGAATGTGTAACTCAAGAGTAAGGTCCACTGGCAGAAAGTGACGTGAGAAAAAGGGGGATGTTTCCTGACACTGCATGCCCGGCTAGCTCAGTCGGTAGAGCATGAGACTCTTAATCTCAGGGTCGTGGGTTCGAGCCCCACGTTGGGCGCTGCTTTTGTCTCGGGAGGCCTTGTGAACCATCTGCAATACAACTATTTAAATATATTTTAAACTGCTGCTACTTATGTGCCCTTTTATGCTGCTGTATATATTTTTTAGTATTTATTTATTTTTATATTCCTGTATTTTACTTGCGTAGGGTGGACTAGCAAAGTAAGATTTTCATTGTACGGTGTAACTGTCTGTTTACTGTGCATATGACAATAAATATCTTGAATCTCTTAGGTTACTAGTTACTGAGCTTGAAAGAAAGACTTATCATCTGCATATAGACGTTTCAGTTTAAAGACTTTGTAATAATCTGGAATAATATTGGTTTTGCTTACAAGTATTTTATATGTTGTTGCTAAAGATAATGACCCAACAGAGTAACATGATTTACTACAGTCATGCTGACATGAATCACTTTAGATACTGACTGCAAATAAGGATATTCTTTCATATCAAAAGATCTAATGATTGTTTTCTAAATTCATTAAAGGGGCCTTATTATGCTCTTTGGGGTTTCTCTGACTTGTGCGTCATCAATAATCTTTAATTCATTTTATGGTGTAGAAAATTATGGAAAAATGCCTATTTTAGCCTCTAACAGATATCAGATAAAAGCAGGAAGTCTTATTTGACTGACAATGAAATAACCCTTGACTCGCCTTTTTAGATGCTAAAATAATCCTATTTGATCAAGAACGGTTGGTAGATATGCAACACACAATGATATTTGCTTTATTTGTTTTAAGTATTTGTTAAATAATTCCATTGTATCTGCTGTAGGTGCCTGACTACCCCTCCCACATCAAGCACCCGATGGACTTCTCCACCATGAGGCAGCGCATCGACGCTCAGGCCTACAACAACTTTGAGCAGTTTGAGAACGACTTCAACCTCATTGTGGATAATTGCATGAAATACAACTCAAAGGACACTTATTTCTACCGGGCGGCCGTTCGCCTCCGAGACCAGGGCGGGTCCCTGCTGAGGAAGGCCCGGAGAGACGTGGAGATGATCGGCTTCGACTCGGAAAGTGGCATGCACCTACAGGAAGCTCCGGAAATCAAAGCAGAAAGATCCTTTTCCTGGGAGGACGGTAAGACAAATGTCACTTTGACGCACCATTCAAACATGTTGAAAATAATGTATAATTCTCACACATTTCAGTAAACGCTGTTAAACGTCACTTGAGAGTTTAAAACATGTAAGCACTGAAATAAATCACGAAATAAAATAGAATGCTAAATAAACCCTGTTCATTTACATTATGCACATTTCTTAGTCACAAGCGATGTCTTTCGTGAATAACCTAATGGTGCGTGAATTGAAATGTTGCAGACGCAAGGTATTGTGGGTCCGCATTATGTCCTTTCCTTTCATAAAGGATGGTCCAGTGTATTGTAGCTACTTTCCTAGCATCCAAAGAACTCAAACAGCTCTTGTATTAACTGCCACTTATGTACTTCCTGGTTATACAGGTTAGGAATCTTCCTGTGCAACATTGACAACCACATGTTTCAATCTCCTCCTGTTTTATTTCTATTCTTCAGTTGACCGCCTACTAGTACCAGCCAATCGGATGCATCTGTCTCCAGACAAACAGCTGCAGCAACTGTTGGAGAAGTTTGACCTGACCTGTGCCATGAAGTCCAGCCCCTCCCGCAGCAAGCGCTTAAAGCTGCTCAAGAAGACCATCAACGATGTGCGCAATGAAATGAGCCTGAAGAGGGTCCTGCCCTCCCACCATCATCACCACCATCACCACCACTCTTCCTCCTCCACAACCCCCTCCACATCAGCGTCATCAACCGCCTCCCACCCAGAGTTGAGTAAACCTAAAGAGGAGACATCGAAGCCCAATGGGCACTTTCCAGATGATGAGGGTACGTATGGATTGGCTTTAGATTGGTCATTTTTCTGCTTCACGCCATGCTCTGTGATTTTTAAAGATATTCACTTGTCCTGAATAGCCTGAAGCCAATAAATTGTATCTTTTTGACGGGAATGAGTTATAAAAAACCTGGAGTTCATTGCCAGTGGAACAACTGCAGGTTTTTCTGCCCAACAAACACTACTTTTACCAGATAATTCACACAGTTTCAATATTTTTGAACTGACATTGGTTCAAAATGTTCAAACCTTTTTTTATTAACTCCAAAGTCCAAATCATAGAATCAACGTTGTCCACATCATCAAACAAGAATCATTAAGAAAAATGTCTAAACATGGCCATAATGCAATTTTTAGTATGCTGCACTGGCTTCTTAAAGTGCACACTCACTGAACACTTGCTGAATCACTTTACGTCTGGGGAAGATAGCTTTCTCATGAGGTAAAGGGGGAAAAGGGAAATACATATTCATTTTCCTCTCATTTCTTTTTCATGTAAGTGCCTCAGTGTTATGCTAAATAACGCCTTGTTTTACTTTTATGATAGACCTAAACGCCATTGAAAATGTGCAGTGTCAGCATTTCTGTAAGGACAAAGTGTGGGTGTTGCAGCACTTTACTGTAGGTAATAGCTTTATACCATGGGTCATATCTTTTGCCTCTGTCATGACTCGACTTTTATTGTATTGTTTTGACTATTTATGCATAGCATTTCGATTTTTATCCCAAAAAGTATGCCAACAATTTCATTATGCTCCTCTGCAAAGCTAATCCTTTACCATGATAACATTTATTAAATTCCATAGTAATGAGGACAAAAGAGAAGGGAATTGTATGAATATAAATTAGAAAAAACGGATACACTGCACCGAAAATACAAAGAAAAACAAATTGTAGTGCCTAATTAATAATAACTGTGACATTACAAATATGTATTGTACTTGAAGGGGACATATAATGCTCATTTTCAGGTTCATCTATGTATTTTGTGCCTCTACTGTGACATGTTTCCATGCTTTAATGTTCAAAAAGCTCTATATTTTGTGCCGCCCCTTAGCCTATCACGTAGAATGTGTTAGAGCGCCAGCCATAGAAGCACAAGTGTTACATAGTGATGTTAATATGTCACTGAAGTAAACAAAAGACTACACTAGAGGTGTTTCAGGCAGGGATGGGGGGGTGTGGGAGAGAAACTCCCTCTGGCATTTACAGGCATACACATCTATGACCCACTACAGGAAAGGGAGAACCCCAAAGATCATATTAGGGCCCCTTTATTAGTCACTTCATGTTTGATTACTGTTGTCCGTATAGTCAAAACTAAACCGCTTTCTCCCTCTCCCCTACAGGAGATAAGTCTCTTCCTCCGAAACTGGAGCCTTCGGACTCAATCCCCCACCACATCCAGTCAGACTCAGACCCGGGGCCCCCCACCCTCAAACCAATAGACTCCGCTCCGGATCGTGAAGAAAAGCCTCACAGCAAACGCCTCAAGTTCGACAGGGAACTCCCAGACCTGCTCTCTTCCGCCCCGCGCCTCAACGGACACTCCCACAGCCGACTCCACAGCTCGCTGCTGGACGGAGACGTGAGCGTTGTTGCCACGTCGACGGTCGCAGAGCCCACGGGCACGGTGAACCGCCGGACCGCCGTGCTCTTCCGCAAATCGAAGACCACCAGCCCACGCAAACTCCCGAGGAACGAGGAGGAGGAGAACGGCGACAGAAAAAGGGCCGAGCAGCAGCAGCAGCAGCAGGAAGAAGAGGAGGAGGATGACATCGAAGACCTGGGCTCCAAATCCTTCCTGTCGGTGGTCATACCCAGGCTGGAGACGCTGCTCCACAGCAAGAAGAGGAGGCGCAGCAGGGAGGAGGTAGAGGCGGGAGGCGACAAAGGAAAGTGCCCTATGAAACGCCTTGATACCGGTAGGAAGAGAGAGACTGAATAACACTTATTATGTTTAATGTATCAAAGTGCCTTATAGTCTGCAATTTCTTTGAGTCACCATATGTTAGAATTGAAATGACATTTCTTTAAAGCTCTTATTAAATTAGCAAAGCTCTATCTAGCAGTGCTTCGAGGCCCAAAATAAAAAATGTGGAATCCCAAAACGTACAAGTACAGCTAATAAAGCACATCAATACATCCGTTTCCTTGTACATTTTTGTATTGGGATGTGATTTTGTTTTTATTCGGTTGTGCCTTGTCTCCTCTCAGGCTTAACTAGCAGGTTTCTGGAGGAGGAGCAGGAGCTGGAGGAGTCGAGCAGAGCCAGCGTCGCCGTGGAGCCACGGCGACGCTGCGCCTCCGAGTCCTCCATCTCCTCCTGTAGCAGCCTGCCAGGCAGCACCAGGTAACACATCAGTCTAGATTAAAATACGGCTAAAAGATACGATTCATTGTACGACATACTTTCTTGAAAATTGTAATCTTGGCTTTCAAATGTATCATGCATGTCTTTTCTGTGTTTCCAGCACTATTCTCAGTCTTCCTAAATGTGGGAAAGGGAAACCCGCCTTGGTCCGGAGAAACACTGTGGACGATAAGAGCGAGTTAATCGCATGTATCGAAACAGGGAACTTTGCAAAAGCTGCACGAATCGCTGCAGGTAAGAAGACTGCATTCAATGTGTCAGATCTGTATGCGTGTGCGAGGGTAGCATTATGTTTACAAACTACCTGTTTAAGTCACCATTTCTGATAAGGATGATTAAGGTAATATGAATTGGTCTAAAAGTAATTTCAATTGTTACGGCAGGACAAGTTTGAAATTAAAGAGTCCCTGAATCGGAGCCTGAATAATTCTTCATGTTTGGTATTTACTGTTTTCTCTCTCACTCTCTGCACATAAAGGAATGTAGTTATTAAGAAAACAACTGATAAGTGATATAATAAGCAAAGAAAATTGATGGAATTAGAAAAAGACTAAGTAAATATATTTAAAATGTGATTGTTTTTTAGGGTGGCAGAAAAAATGACCGTAGACTTTTGTGAATATATTAAAAAAAGATTTGGTATGGTAAACAGTTGTGTGTTTTCACAGATTTATGTAGGTTGTGTAAAACTTTAAAATGTCTTAAAGTGTCTCATGAACACCATCAAAATGTTCCTGTTGAGCTTCAGCATTAACTTGTTATAATTGTCCCTAAAAGTTTAAACTTGATATAACTTGCAGACACCTGGTAAACAAACACAGGGTTGGAAATGAACAGGAGCTACTCGCCAACTATTGGTGACTTTTGGCAGTGACCGGTGATGCTCTGCCTGCCATCATGGCATGTAACCAGTCAGCATCTGGACTCCCTTCCCCTCATCTAAAATTCATGTTTGGCTATTGAAACGCTCAAAGTGGCTGGTAAATTGTAATATCTGTCATTCACCCTGGCTTTTAAATGAAATAAAAACGTAATTTCCCACTTTGATTTTTTCCCCTGCACGGCTCTGAAAGTGTGTTCCTGTGTTTTAATGTGTGGTTCTCGCTCTTACAGAGGTTGGCAACAGCAATATCTGGATGCCCGCTAGTGCTGCAACAGTTGCACTGGAACCCCTGAAGCTAATCTGGGCCAAATGTAGCGGATACCCTTCCTACCCTGCCTTGGTGAGTGACTTTTCTTTGGAGAGAAAGTACGACAATCACTATTTTCTCCAACGTTTTTTGTCTCCTCTTCACATTATAACATAACTATGGCATCAAAGGAAGCAATAGTTTACTGCAGCTGTTCTTTAAAGGTGGACCTTTCCTATTCCTCCTCTAGATGGCACTGTTAGCCAGTTTAATTTGACCTTAGCATGAAAGGACAAATTATGAAACTAATGCCATGTTTGTGCAGAGGTTGAGGTTAGTTTATTTATAGAGCACATTCCAGATACCAAGGAAATTCCAAATGTGAATAATAATGGCAAAAACCAAATAAATTAAACAAAAGGACAATTCATAAAAGACACAGAAGGTAGTTGAAATTCACATTGTATAAGTGCAAGGATAAAACCTAGTTAGATGACTTCTGGAAAAGCAGCAGGAGAGAAAGCCCTGATTTGAATCAGGAAGTTTTTTCAGGGAGACTTTTCCCCTGTGACGTCTGTAAATAGGAGTATATATTCTTTAAAGCTAAATAAACTACCCAGCACGAACACTTTGAAGGCCCTTATTTCAAATCATTAGGCATTAAAAGTAGTAAAATGTACTAAAAGCCGAATCCAGAGTTATTTTCCCTCTACATTCTTATGACTGAGCCAAGAGTGGGAGATCTGAGGCGGGGCTTAAGGAAAACTCAAGTGCGCATGAGCGAAGGGTTGAGCCCAAAAAAAAACCTTTAAAAATAAATGTAGTACAATATTTCCTTCCAAAATGTAGTAGAATTGTGAAGCAGCATAAAATAGTACAGTATAGTATTTAACTTAATGTACTTAGTTACTTTCCAACACTGCATTGTATATATCCAGTGTGAATTCAACGATATGTCAGATTGATGTATGTTTTCTATGCTATGAGTATGTGTGTAATGGCCTCCCCTCTCTCCTCCCCCTGCTGAGCGTAGATCATCGACCCCCACATGCCGCGCGTGGGCTGCCAGCACAACGGGGTGTCCATCCCCATGCCCCCCATGGACGTGCTCCGCATCGGAGAGCAGATGCAGTACAAAGCCGAAGAGAAACTCTACCTCGTCCTCTTCTTCGACAACAAGCGCAGCTGGTGAGTGCCGCCGTCACCGGGGATGATTTAAGCTCACGCTGCTCTCCGCCAGGGAAAAGCTGTCAACGTGTCCGCAGGCCCATCATTATTCTCTCGTGGCCGTGTCTCATTATTTGTCTTGAGACAACAAATGGCCCCGGGGAATAAAGTCACCTGGATTCCCCTCGAATGTTTTTCAATCTTTAACAGACATGTCTTTTTATCTGCTACTGAGAATATTCCACATCTAAGAGGGAACAGTCTCTTAAAGCCAATGTTTACCTACGCTTGTTTTGTTTAATCAACAGTTCAACCCCCAAAAAAAACAACTGTATATCCTCCCATTTGAAAAGCTGGAATCTGCAAGTGTTAGTTGCACTACTTAAACTGTTTTTGGTTGAATACAAAGAACTGAGGTTGCAGAATTTACTGTGATTTTAACCTCCATCTTTTTTATAGACTAGACTGTTATTCAAATAAATAACTGATTTCTATTAAATGAAAAATAATCTCAAAAATCTCAGCTAAATATTAAAGGTCAGACGTTAATAAACTGTTATTGCAACATCAAAACTGGATCAACTTTTGGGCTGCAGTGGTTTTTTTGTCAAATTTTTTAAGTTATGCAAAATCTGTCTAAAATATAGTAACACAAAGGATGGTTGTTATTCTGTTTTCTCACCTCAAATGAAAGATTAACAACTTCAAACTCCATTCAACCCTTGGTGTTTGAATACCCATTCTGTCTTTCCCCCCTCAGGCAGTGGCTCCCTAGATCCAAGATGGTTCCTCTGGGCATGGACAAGACCATAGACAAAATCAAAATGATGGAGGGACGCACGTCCAGCATACGCAAGGCTGTCCAGATCGCCTACAGCCGCGCCATGAACCACCTGAGCATCGTGCAGGACGAGCCCGTCAGCGACCTCAGTGACGTGGACTGATGATACTGTCTCACACACACACACACACACACACACACACACACACACACACACACACACACACACACACACACACACACACACACACACACACACACACACACACACCATGTATACATCACTTCAGGGGACATTACATTGACTTACATGCATTTCCTGGAGACTTATCCTAACCTTAACCATAACCAACACATGCCTAACCCTTACCCTTACCCTAAACCTAACCAAGTCTTCACCCTAAAATTAATGACTCCCCTCATGGGGACCTCCAATTTGTCCCCATAAGGGAGGCGAGTCCCCACACGTGACTGTGTAAACAGATTTAGGTCCCCATAAGTATAGTAATGCTAGGCCACACACACACACACACACACACACACACACACACACACACACACACACACACACACACACACACACACACACACACACACACACACACACGTACCTCTCCTGAACCAAATGCCTCCTTTCCCTCTAATGTTTACTGGGCACCCGCTGCATCAGGCGGTGTCTCCTCCTCATCCATTCCTCCTCCTCCTCACACACACTCCCACCATGTGCCGATGGGATACGGCTGCTGCTCAAATGAATGTGTTTCTGTCCTTTCCACCTGCAGGCTGTGCTTAAGCTCTTTATGTCCAACCCTCATCTTCCTCACTCTTTAATCATTTCAACACAAACATGTCGGTAGCCCAACCAAAATTGTAAGACAAAAAGGTTACACAGATTAAATCTCTGCTTATCGGTCCGTAATTTTGTTTGGCAGGTAGCCAATCATGTTATTTAAAAATTAGCATCTTGTAGCTGGTTTATGAGTTAAAGTGGATAAAAACATACATTTCCTGCCTATATGAAAACTTTTTTATTTGTCGCCAAAGCTCACGTTATGTCGCATGTTCATACTACTCCTTCCTTTGTATTTAAACTGTAAATAATGTGTACAGTTGCCTGACACTAACTTATTTTGTAGTTTTGACATCAGTACAGGAGTTTTTTTAGTATTTATACTTGATGCATTCTTCACACGAACATGTGAAGGCTATTTTGCTATTTTGCTGTTTGATCAAGAAGGACAAAAAAAGCCTTAATATTAAGGAGATTAGGGCTAAAATATCCCTTTTTTAAGTTATTGAAGTTTATAATCGTAAACTTCCATTTGGCATTAATCCTCTTTTGTATGGAAAATAGTTTTAGTATATTTTTGTTCATATATATTTATATGATTTGAATACACGGTTATACAGTGTGTAAGTCTCTAAAGCTCATACAGGCAGTCTGAAGTCCTCGACCCGTAAATTGTTCTCAAGAAACCAAAAATGTTGCTACCCAGAAGTTTTTTCGCTGAAATGTTCTGTGTGAAATTGTTGCCAAAAAGGAAAAAATAGTATTTTTTATGTGATACTGTTACTTGGTTCTTGCTGTACTCGTAGGGAGACGCTCCTGCAGAAACTTATTGTAAAGTATTTGCATTACTTTATATCCAAGGAATGACGTTGCAAACTGATTGTGGTAAAGTGGCACATTTTGTGATGGATACTTGCCTTTTTTATTTTTAACTTTTTTAACCTTTTTTTGTTGATGTACTTCAAGACATTTCATTTTATACTGTTTCTCTGGGTAGCATTGGGTCATTTTGGTATATTTCATTTTATACTTAACTGTAGTAGTTTTTTAATCAGGTCATATTAAAAATTGCTGGGACTTTTCTTTCCTAGCAAAACATAAAAGATACAAATATGAACACATGCTTCTGTTGTTTTGTGTGACAGTCAAGGATTAAAAATGCCCTATTGTGCTTTTTAAGGTTTTCCATTTCCTGTAGTGTGTATCTGTGGCATAAGAGGGACTGGAAATTCTCCTCAATGCCTCTGAAAAGGTCTGAAAGTCTTTCACTGTTGGCAGAGGGCGGACAATAATTCAACCTACCACCTGCAATATGGCACCGTACCCTGCTCATACTCAGTTGATAATTGTCCACTTAAATTCTGTAGAAGTTGCCAGCTATGTAATATATGCTGCTGCATTCCAGCAATGTTATATTAATTTTTGAAGATCAAAACTCTGATAAGAGGACACCAACATGCATACAGCTACAGAATCCGTTCAAACTTTAAAATGGTCCAAACATTTTGTAATCTGTCTTAATTACTGTACTGTTCAGGGAATATTCTGATCTCTTTAATATAGTTAAATTACTAGAAATACAAGCAGGTTTAAAACAAATGTTTTGGACATCTGATAAGTGACATTTAAACAAAGGTGGGAGAAGTACTCAGATCTTGCTCTTAAGTAGAAGTATACCGGATTGTAGGAATACTCTGTTACAACTAAAAGTCTTGAATTCCAAATATTAAGTTAAGTAAAAGTACAAAAGTATTATCATCAAAATATAGGCCTACTTAAAGTACCAAAAGTACTATTTATGCACTTAGGAATGATATATATTTTGATTATAATTATTGATGCATTAATATGTTTGTCAAAGGTGGTAAAGGTGCAGCTAGTTCATTATTGCATTCATACTTCAGGTTAGTTTCAGATTGTATTCCAGGTCCAAACTAAAGTCTTATTTAAGTGTTGATTATGTTTCATATCATTAATCCACATTTTTCAAAGTAACTAAAGGTATTAAATAAATGCAGTGGAGTAAAAGTACATATTTACCTCTGAATTGTAATGGAGTAGAAGTACAAAGTAAGTAGCAACAAATGTAAATACTCAAGTAAAGAACAAGTATCTCAACATTATACTGAAGTAGGCTACAGTACTAAATGTACTTAGTTACTTTACACCACTGAGTAGAAGTATAACATTCAGAAATATAGGTAGTACCCAGAAGCTAACACAAGTGTGGTCTTAGGGCAGCAGAAAGAGGCGGCCATTTTTGAAATTGTCCACAGGGAGGCACTGTGGCTCCGCACTAAAACCTCCTTCACTTCAGCCGGGAGACAGCGTCCACACACCGGCCTACCTGAGGAGCGTCCACCTGCTCGGGTCTGTTCCCCCCTCCACTCAGGTAGGCATCAGTATTCAGCGGATAAACCATTTCCATTACTGTGTTCAAATGGTGAATGCACCGATTAGAGAGAATGTCAATTAATGCTTAATCAGTTTGAAGACATGGCTGCTGCTCTGGCGTCTCTCTTTTGCCTCGAGCTCGGCTAAAAATCTGCCATAGCCTAATGCCAATCACCGGGCACCCTCTCCTCCATTTTCTTTATTTCACAGAGAGTGGGCAGACAATTCTCCTCTTAAGTGTTTTATTTGTTTATATGCTAATATTCGGATGGAAGGCTAGAAGTGTAAACAGCGCCGTGTGTGGGAGGGAGTTGAACCCATCACACTTGTGGAGTTTCTTTCCTAAATGCGTAACAAATACCAAAGCGAATCACGTCTTTGATGCACATTTGGACAGACACTGTTGAAATATGCATTTTGCTTAAGCCAATTCATCTTTTGTTATTTCAAGCTACTGACATTCAGAGAGTTAAATTAGAGTTATGGGGATTAAATGAGGTAGTAATGGCCCTGTGATATAGAAAGCCACCTTCAAGCCACATTGAAAGACATCTCCCATCTTTATAAACAATTGGAGCTAATGTACACACACACACACACACACACACACACACACACACACACACACACACACACACACACACACACACACACACACACACACACACACACACACACACACACACACACACACACACAGCACCCCTCTTTCCTCTCCAACTGTCTGTCTTCACCAGATACTAATTGTGTGGGGAGGTAAACATGGCAGTCAAGTGGAGAGGACGACGAGTCAAGCGTGAATATCAATCTCCCCACATCAGTGTCATCAGATGACTTTGACTGAGTTGAGGCAGGCTCATTAGAGAAGGATGCTGCATGCCGCAATAACATCCAGGTGGAGGGATCCGAAGAAGTTATGGAAGCCTGCTGAGCGCAACAGTTAACTTGTGTGTGTGTGTGTGTGACAAGGCCTGTGGATGTTTAATGCAACCCACCTTTGCACTGAGGGGTCACCAGGGTTTCGGGAGGAAATGCCACACACAGTTAGGTACACTCCAAGCAGGCATGCAGGTTGTAAATGTGTTCCATATTCATCCATCTGAATACTATAACCTCGCACCACCAGAAGTTCTTTGGCAGGAGGAGACAGTTAGAATTGCCCGGGTGTCAGACCTGGCAACTATCTTTGAAAGGTTTGAAAGATTTTGGTGCTTTTTTCTCGGCATTTTTTTAACTTTTCTCACCAGATGTATTCAAGCGAAAAATAAAGGTCACGAAGCTGTGTTTATTCTGCACCTGAACCATTGTTGGTTTTCTGACAACAAACCCATCTGCTTCAGAGATGGAATAACGGTCAAAAATAATTCAGCTCTAGTTTGAGCTTTTCAAATTCAAAATATACAACTTTACTTTGTCATATATATCATATTCATTGTGTTTTGGATTTTTGGTCACAAAGAAACAGAACTTTTAGGTGTCACAATGGAACTTGGGAAGTTGAAATGGGCATCTGTCGACATTTATATACCTATTTTATATTTCTCCTTAAGAAGCTTGAAGATAAGGAAACAAATGGTACTTTAACTCTCTGACATATATATTCAAAGGGACTCTATTATGCTCATTTTCAGGTTTCATATTTTTATTTTCCTTAATTTAAGCTTCATAGTGTTTAAATCCACGAGTCACTGTTTTTCTTCATAGTTGGTAATCTTCTATAATCGCATTTGTGTAAATGCATTGCCTAGGAATTCATCGTGACAAATTGGTATCTTAGAAAACCTTGACAAGAGTTAAAAAAAAGTTTGCGTTATCGTATCTACCAGCACAACAACTCTTTTAAAAACCTGCAGAGGCTCATATTATTTGGGACTGAACGTTTGAGGTCTGTGAGGTGACTTTGTAAAGAAAACACACTCTGAACTCTGCCCCAGTCCTGCTGCATTAAACATCATGCAAACCGTTTCCTTTTGGAACATGTACAAAAATATGATCCCCCCCCCCCTCTGTGTGCCCCTCTGTGTCCCTGATAGGCCCAATCTCCAGTGGCTATGTTCAAAACACTGGGCCAGAATAGCACGGGCCCTAGGTA